TGAATAAAATTACACATAAATGTAAATTACACACAAATGTAATGTAGTTCATTTGTTATGCATCGAATAATATTGTAAAATTCAATAGTTAAATTGAATAAACAATAACAGCTGTTGCTAGCATGATAAATAATCAAAAAGCTATGTTTATAAATAAGCATTCATCAATTTCATTCAATTTAAGACGCATGGCCCTTTTGTCCCATAGGGGTTGGCACTCTTGCCCATTGAAATTTCAAAAAAGATTTGAGATGACATTTCGAAAAAATCGTAAAAAACTTTTGACGAGATATAATTTGCATTACATTGCAATAATATAAATTTGCAATATGGTTTACAAGCTCCTATAAATATCCAGTATTTGGCATATATAGAACTTACAATTGTTAAGGTGGCACTCTGGCCCCACCCGACCATACATATGTTCATGATTATCGATGTTAGCGGATCCTTACGGATACGTTATATAATTGAAGAAATGTAAACTGTGCGACCGTGACCGTGCATATTCATTGTTCGTTTTGTAAAAAAATACTAATGAGCGCAAGAAATGCCACGATTCATGCCGCCGCATAAAAGTGGTATCGGCGTGACTTCGATGATGCCGCCGCCGCCGACCATTTTTGAATCGGCGCAAACCTCTAAGGGCGCCCCTTAGCTCAGTCGGTACAGGCGCAGCTACAAAGCAAGACCATGCTGAAGGAGGCTGGGTTCGATTCCCGGTCCGGTCTAGGAATTTTTCGTCAATCTTGTTTTCCGTGCTGAGCACCAATGCTACCGACGCCAGCAAGGCAGCTTCCACACCTGGACCCTACCTATCGACCCATCAACTCATGAACCGGGGACCAACAGCTTTACTTCCCTTCCGAAGGAAGGCGTGATCAGAGATGTTATGCCTCAGAACATCCCGGGGGCACCGACTGGGATTGAACCCAGGCCTGCTGGGGTGACAGATAATCACGGTTACCACTACACCACCGGTGCAGCTAATGCAGGTGTAAGATGATCAAAAAATCACGTTGCAAAATTGACGATTTCTGCGGCCTTTAGTCAATAAAGGAGCATTTTTAAATTTCATTACATTTCAGGTGAAGGGGTTTACGACTCAGGACATAACATGTAAGTTAATATAGAATTAATTTTTATAAATACGGGATAAGTGATATTTCTGAAGCAGTAAAACCACATTTAGACTAAAGTCTTTTTATGGGACATAAAATAAAAAATCCGTGTGAAAAAAAATAACTTTTTTGAAAAAAAACGTCGCATAAAACCACGTTTTTCCAAAAATCTTCACTATCGAAAAGAATAACTTTATTGCTCACCATCTTGAAGGTATTGACTTCCTGATCAACTTTACTGAAGAGGGTAAGTTTCTAAATAGCTCGTTAAGGATGTCCGCTCAACTTATCCGAAGTGCTGAAATTTGTTTATTTTACTAAGTCTTTTCCTATAGAATTAGGCTCTTTAACTGCATTATTTCAAACATCGTCGTAAAAAACCGTGTAAAAAAGACTTCAGTGTAATGATGAAATTTTTTTGTAACCTCATGTGAAAAGGGGCTTTGTGATGCTCTCGATGGGAAAGCGAAGATAATTGTTGAGTGAAGACGCTAGTTCTAATAGAACTTCGACAACCCAGGCAACCAGTAAACTCTTCTTCTTCATATTCATATTCTTCTTATTCTTATTCTTCTTCTTCTTCTTCTTCTTCTAGGATTTTTACGCTTCTGTTGCGAACATTTTGCCGGCTCTTAACTTAGTGTTCTAGATGCACTTCCATAGATATTAATTGAGAATTTTTGATGCCAACATCAATGAATGAATTTGTATATTGTGTGACAAGCACAATGATACTCAAAGCTCAGGGAAGTCGAGAAAATTTCTAGTCGAGATTTGACGATTTTTCTGATTTCTTATCAATTGGGAGAACAAATAAAATACCAACCAACTTATTTAAAATAAATAAAATTGCGATACGTTCATTTATGAATGTTTCTTTATTACATTACAATCATTTTTTTCCATGTAGGGTTAATCACATCTTCATATAAATGATAAATAGTATATTCAAACTTACAAATTGAAATTCCGATAAAAATACTCAATACCGGATTCAGGGGAGTGACCTTAAGTGGACCCTAAACGGTTGCTTTTATTGACAATAATCGTATTGTCAATACATTCTATATTGACTTCAATACATCGGTATTGACAATATTTCCGTATTCACATCATCAATATCATTGACAATAATTCCCCTTCGCGTCAATATATTGATACGTGTGGGGTTCGCTTCAGACAATTTCCGAATGATATCAATTTAATGATGCCCATTCAATGTTGAATATTATTGATGTGTTCCATAACGGAACTCAATTGTTGAACCCGAGGTACCTGGAACATATCCCAGTGGTTAATGTGGTCCTGGCTACTAAATGAGGCCGATAACGGTTTTGATTTTGAATTATCTTTGTATTTAATGAGTCACACGTGGCTCTAGTCAGAATCCAGGAAGCATCGGGAATGTGTCCGGATGTGGTCAATGTGGTCCTGAACCCGAGTCTGGACCCTCAATATGATCACCAATGATTTTGATTTTGAATACTCATGTAAATTTGCTGTGTCGCCAACCAACTTCCCAGGAGTATTCGGAATGCTTGTTAGGTGGAACAAATTCTAAGAAAAATAGTATTATTGAATTAGTAGAGTATTATTGACCGATTGGTGAAGTAATCGTGAAGTTTAGTTGACATTTTTTCGTTTTCATGTTTGCATTTTTGAAACATTTATTGTTCAGGATACTTCCCGTAAAAAAAATCCAATAAAAATACAATGATTTTCATTGTCATTGTAACCATGATATTTAATGTCAAAACATTGGACATTTTTGTCCATTACCATAAAATCACAACGAAATTCATGGTTCACAACAATGAAAATCATAGTATTTGAGAAATTAACAGTAAAATAGGGGGGTTGTTAAGCATCTTAACAATGAAAAAGTGATTTTTCTCGCACAAAGTTGATCTCATTACACTAATTTTCGTTGTTTGAGCATTGTAAAACTTACATACATTTCAACGTGAATCTAAAAATCCGAAAGGACATTATCTGGCCGGAAGCAGAATCGATATGGTGATGGCTTATTTTCTCTATGATCATGATTTTATGCAATTTATAAAAAAAAAAACCGGATCTCTAGGTCTACTTTCAGGAATTGACCATATTCCCGGTGATTCCGGATATCCAGATGACTGTTTTCTGGTCACTCGGTAGCAGAATCGATATGGTAATACCGACAATCAATACGAAACTATCAATTTGAAATTGGCTCACTACTTGACTAGCGTATTGGTCTCAAGCAAACGATTAACGTATCCCATTCTAGTCGGAATTCTAGTACTACACTATGTTTGTTTTGGTTTTCTATGAAAGTTTGACAGATAAAATGAGGGGTTAGTAGATTATCATATGTTTCGAGTGGTGAATCGATTAGCTAGAGACCGAATATAGTACCAGAGCTGAGCCAAAAAGTTGAGCAAGTTTCTTTGGAACCTTCTAGTCTTAGAGTTACCTCTATGGTAATACCATAGAGGTAACTCTAAGACCACTGGGTCCCGAAGAAAATCATTATTATTTTTGGCTCACTCAGTACCAGAACAACGGTCCCAAGCAGTCCCAAGCTATTTCACTCACCCCTGCATGTTCTGCATGAATCCACACACCCCTGATGTTATCTGTCAAACTTTCATAGCGAATCAAAACAAACATAGTGTAGTAATAGAATTTCAACTAGAATAGGGTACGTTAATCGTTTGCTTGGGACCAATAGGCTACTAAAGTGGTGAGCCAATTTAAAATCGTTAGTTTCGTATTGATTGTTGGTAATACCTCTATGCTCATGATTGTATACAATTTAGACAAAATGGTGGATCTCTAGGTCTACTTTTAGGAATTGACTATTTTCCGTAGATTCCGGACATCCAAAAAACTGTTTTCTTGCCACTTACTAGAAGAATTGATATGGCGATGACACATTTGCTCTATGCTCATGATTGCATGCAATTTAGAAAAATTCGCGGATCTCTAGGTCAATTAAAAACAAAAGTTTTCCCTTAATTTCTTCCCGCACCAAAACTTTCAAATTTGAGTAAAAAAAATTGCTTGAAAGGCATATTCGATGATATTATGTTGGTAAATTACCAACAACTGACTGTAAAACATATCTGGTAACTCTCTATATGCAATTAGATTAACATCTAAAGTCCATCCTTTTTTTCCATATTCTGCCCAAAAGATACTTTCTGCCCCGCCCCATTCATAATTGTTGCGGGGATAGATTTTCCACAATCTTTAATAGCAAACCAGGCTTTCGTGGTGGTAAGCTTTAAGCTAGAATAAACTTTTATTAGTATGTAGCTAGGATACTTTCTTACATTAAACTTACAATTGTTGGTGAACCTTTGAACATTGGGATCTTATCACGAATCAATGGGCGATAAGTTGTGGAAAGCACTGTAGTAAATTATGGTCCTATAGGTTAGGTGTACAATTCAATAATTTCAACGTACTTACGCTTTAATTTACCGTTTACTAATATGTTTAAGCAACTTCTAATTTCGCCAAGTAGGTTTAAGCTATGTAGAATTTATCCTATCTTTAGAAATAGTTAGTATTAGATTATGAATTCATCCTCATCATTTTACGTAATGCATGTGTTACCTTTATGTGCGAACAAATAGCATGATCTCGCACGGATATATTACAAATAACCAGGATAATCACTTAACCTACTGATAGCTGGCGTAACTTTATTTGCGTAATCTACTTTTAAGCTTATTTGTATAATTTTCACCGTTAGATATAACTGTAATTACTAGATTAAGCTAATTCACGTATCATTGTTTATCATTGACCATTGTTCTGAACTCCAATGTCGTTTTCTATCTCTCTTTCCCTCTTTGTTCATGGTTGATCGGCCACTGTGGGGATCGTAGCTCATCCGACCACAGTTGAATTGCGACGGGGGGTCTCGTCGTGACATTCCGCCACCCGTAAACCCTGGTGATGCTCCTGATGCACTGGATCTCCTTGATCAGGTTTACTACTCTCCGAAACGTCGAGAACCGCTAGTTTCACTGCTGGTCGTCGCAGTACTCCAGATGCTGTCCGGACTAAGGCCTGACGGACTCGTCCATCCCGTCCAGGAATAACTTCTTCCACTCGTCCTCGAGTCCACTGGTCCCTCACCGTTCCACTCACTACCAACACCAGATCACCGATTGCTATGTCCCGAACTTCTTCGAACCATTTTCCTCTTCGTGTTATCACTGGCAGATACTCCTTCACCCATCTTGACCAGAACTCGTTGGTGATGGCCTGTGCTAGCTTCCAACTGCTACGCAGGACCGCCGGGCTATTAATAGGTTCGTCCGGCCGGATCTTGTCACCATTGGAAGATCCCAGCAGAAAGTGGTTAGGCGTTAGAGCTTCTTGGTCTGCCGATTCGAGTGGGATGTAGGTGAGCGGTCGCGTGTTGATCATCGCTTCGGTTTCTACGAGAATCGTTTCCAGGACTTCATCACTTGGTCTGCGAGGAGCGTCAGCTACGGCTCCCATTGCCACTTTCACCGATCGAACTAGACGCTCCCACGCTCCACCCATATGTGGAGCCGCTGGTGGAATGAATCTCCATTGAGTATTCGCATTCGTGAACGTAGTAGCTAGAGCGTTGTTCCTTGCCTGTACTTCTTCCCTTTTTAGCTCTCTGCTAGCGCCTTGAAAACATGTTCCGTTGTCCGAGTAGAACTCAGCAGGGGAACCACGACGTGCGATGAAACGGCGCACTGCCATGATGCACGATTCCGTCGATAAACTGTGCACGACCTCCAAGTGCACGGCACGAATAGTGAGGCAGGTAAATAGGGCTACCCATCTTTTCACCTGGCTTCTACCTACTTTCACCATTACAGGTCCGAAGTAATCCAATCCGACGTAGGTAAATGGTCGGACGAACGGTTGTAGCCTGGCTTTCGGAAGCGGTGACATTGCGGGAGGACTGGGCATGGCTTTTCTCAGTCGACAAATCATGCAGGTCTTCGACACCTTCGCGATCAAAGCACGAAGCTTGGCGATTTCGAAACGTTGACGCATTTCGTTGGTTACGGTCTCTCGGTTGGCGTGGCGGAAACGGCGGTGGTACCAGTCTGTAAGAAGAAACGTAATTAGGTGTTGCCTGGGAAGGATGGCGGGGTACTTAGCTTCGGTCGGTGCAAAGGATGCGACACCGATTCGACCACGCATCCGAAGTATTCCACGCTCGTCGAGATATGGCCAGTTCTTGTAGATCGAACTTGACTTGGCAACACGGTCGTGTCGCGCTTCGGGAGACCCTTGTGACCCAGAAAGAATGGTGATTTCTTCTGGGAAGGCTTCAGCTTGGGCTACCTTCCATAGTGCTTCTTCTGAACGTTTTAATTCGTGCTGATCGAAGACGCCCAGTTCCAGCTTGGATCCACATCTTTTACGGCGCAGGTTGTTGATGAATCGGAACACGAAAGCCATTGTTCGCTGTAGCGTCGTCCACCGGCTGAATCTGGATACGTCAATTAACTGAGGAGCTGTGTAATGAGTGTGACTTGATCGAAGTTCTTCTTTAGTTGGACTGGCCTGGGATGGTTGAGGCCAGCATTCCTCAGGTTGGTGAAGAAACGCCGGACCACAGAACCATGGATTAGTTGGTAGGAAGTTGGGGCCATTCTTCCATTTGGTAGCGAGGTCGGCAGTGTTCATTTCAGAGGGGACCCATCGCCACTCGCGTGCATCAGTTGCTGTGAGAATTTCACCGATGCGAACGGCAACGAATTTGTTGTAACGACGGTGGTCTGATCGAATCCAGGCTAGTACTGTACTGGAGTCACTCCAAAAAACTCGTCGACTTATGGGATAGGTGTGATAACCTTGGATAGCCTCAAGAAGGTTGATTCCAAGGACAGCAGCCTTCAATTCTAGACGAGGGATTGAAAGAACCTTGAGAGGTGCAACCTTCGTCTTTGCGCTAATGAAGGCCACCTGTATGCCGGATTGAGTTGGAAGCCGGTAGTACGCTACACAAGCGTAGGCAGAATCACTGGCATCGACGAATACATGGAGCTCTAGCTGATCGAAATTGTCCGGAAATGGCGTTTGAAAGTAGCACCGTGGAATTCGCAAGGTATCCAGCTGGGGAAAATAACCAATCCAATGTCGCCAACGATCGTACAGTTCCTCGTTCACCGCTTCATCCCAATCGATTCCTGTTGCCCAGATGTTCTGCATCAGCACCTTTCCATGCACTAGGAAGTACGATACAAAACCCATTGGATCAAATAAACTCATGACGACTTTCAGTACTTCGCGTTTTGTTGGGATGTGGGCTTCGTTGAGGATTGATTGCAAGTCATTTCGCATTGCAAAGGTATAGGTGAAGACGTCTTCTTTGGGAATCCACCTCATGCCGAGCACGGATTCAGTTGTTTCCGCCCGTATAAGAGAGAGATCCTTCGAGACTTCTGCATCCGCTACTCCGATTCCCCTCAGCACTTCTTCTTCATTGGATAGGAAATTTCGTATTTCGAATCCACCTTTTGAATGGACAAGCTTCACTTCGTTTACCACTTCGATCGCTTCGTGGATCGACCTGAAGCTGTCCAAGTAGTCGTCCACGTAGTGATGGTCCTTGATGGCGGAAGCTGCACGGGGATACTGCTGAGCGAATTCTTCAGCGTTCAAGTTCTTCACGAACTGTGCTGAAGCTGGAGAACAAGTGGACCCAAACATAGTAACGTTGATGACGTAGATTTGCAATGGTTGATCAGGACTGTTGCGGAATACAAACATCTGCGCTTTGCGATCCTTAGATTGTAGCTTGATTTGCAGAAACATCTCCCTGATATCTCCGGATGCAGCAACCGGAAACAAGCGAAAACCACTCAAGACCTTAGGCAGAGAAGTGAGGAGGTCCGGGCCTTTCAAAAGGTGTGAGTTGAACGAAGTCCCATCGACTTTCGCAGCAGCATCCCAAATGAGCCGGATCTTTCCTGGTTTTTTCGGGCTGATGACTACACCTAGCGGAAGGAACCAAGTGTTTCGCGAGTCTATTTCAGCAATTTCTGTTGCACTGGCCTTGTGGATGTATCCTTTACACTCGAATTCCGTTATCTGCTCCTGAACTCGCTGCATCAATGATGGTTCTTTCTGCAGCTTCTTTTCCAAGGACTTCATTCGACGGATGGCCATGGGATAGGTATCCGGGAACTCTCGTGCGTCGACTTTCCACAGTAAACCCGTTTCAAATCCGCATGATGTACGCCGTGTGGTCTCGTCGAGCAATCTTCTTGCTCTCCTGTTATCCTCAGATTCTAGTTTTTCTGAGGTAGTGGATACTCCACAGTTTTCCATCGTGAAGAAATCTCTCAGTTGTTCGTTCAGCATGTAGTCCGCATCGGGCGCAGCAGCAGTGTGGAAGTTGACTGAAGCCCTTGGTGCTGATTGCTTTGATGAACACCCATATATTCCCCAGCCGAGACGACACTTAGCGGCTATTGGATCCTGGGGACCTCCCTCGCGTAGTTTCAGTGGAACTCCAAGTCGAAGATTGTCTAGTCCGATCAGTAATTTTGGTTGGACTAGATCGTGATCCTCTAGTGGCAGGCCTTTGAGGTAAGGAAATCGTTGACTCATGTCACGGTAGTTCAGGCGTTGAGAAGGTAGAACCAGACAGCTCACTGTACGTGCCTGGCAAAGATCGTAACGAGCACTACTGTTTTTCCCCGCTATCTCAAAGTTGATTTGCTGAGACCGCGGCTCCTTGCGTGTCATGTTTCCTGTCCACTGTAGGGTGAGTGGTTTCGTAGGGCCCACAACGCCAAGGTCCTTCGCAACGTTTTCCTCCAGAAGAGTGATTTGTGAGCCTTCGTCGATGAACGCGAAAATAGTTATGCTTTTCTCCTTTCCGTATAAAACTACCGGTAGAATCCGGAATAGTGGTTGATGTTCGTTAGATGAGAGTTGATTCGACGAAATGTTCACGGAATGCGATGACGAGGCGGGATTGGAATTGGAGTGGAGGAGTGTGTGATGTTTCAAACGGCACCCTTCTATTCCACATCCTTTCCATGACTTACACGGCCATTTTCCGTGGTTGTTCAAGCACGTCCTGCACAAGCCTTTGTCCGTTACTAGTTTCCATCGTTCCTCCATACCTAGCTGCTTGAATTTTACACATTCGGCTATCTTATGGCCTTCATGACTACAGGAACAGCATGTTCGAGCTGATTTGCGTGGATTTCCGGTTGCACTGAGCTGCTTGAATCCGGCAGAATTACCGGAAGAGTGGGTTTGAACCATTGCCCTCTCCTTTGACCGCTGCTTCTCATTTCTCGGGATTTTCTGATACCCAGGAAGCTCGAAACTCACTTCGCTGGCCGCCTTTACCAATCTTTCCATGAACTCCCCAAACGTCAGAACAGTTACTCGAAGTCGTTGGTTCTTAAATGCAGCCCAATCCATCCTCATTGGTCCTGGCAACTTCTCTACCAGTTCCTGCATGAGCATCGGGTTCGAAAGATGGTCTACTTGCTGCGCTGCTTGGAGATGATCAACAAAGTTTTGAACTGCCAGTCCAAATTCGAGGATCGATTCGGGCCGGTCATGTCTAGGGCCTGGTGTCCTGCGGATAGTTTCGAGCAGGGACCTGATGAGTAGTTCCGGGCGTCCATAAAGTGTTCGTAGAGTGTTCATTACTTGTGGCACGCTGGCTGGCAGCAGAAGTCTGCTTCGTACTGCATCTCGAGCATGTCCAACGAGACACCGTTGTAGACGAACGAGGTTTTCAGCATTGGAGTATCCACAACTAATCGTAGACTGTTCAAAACTGCTGATGAACATCGGCCAGTCCACGGGGTTTCCGTTGAAAGTGGGTAAATCCTTTCCGACCACTTGTCGGGCAGCTATTTGCTGAGAACTAAGAGCACCTGGTGGATCACGTGGCATCGGAGGATCTCGTGGTATCGGAGGATCACATGGTATCGGAGGATCACGTGGTATCGGCGGGTTGATCAAAGTCCGTGGATAACGTACCAACGGTGGACCACGTGGAAAAGGAGGATTTCTAACTCTCGGTGGACTTTGCTGTCGTGGGGTCCGATTGTAAACCTCTCCATTGTAACTGATTCCATGGTTAGGGCTCGGATAATCCCGATGTTCATCTTCTCTCGAATGGTGATGAAACATTGGAGATGTATGTTGAGGAACAACTGGTTCGGAGACCACCGGAGAACTATGTCGTAAGGGGGTGTTCCATGGACTGCGACGCGGTGACGATGTCATGGAAACTGAATTATCATCGTGTTGAGTGCGTTGATCACAGACCGGCGAGTGATACGGATCTGGTACGATAGGAGGCCATTTTTCTCAAGGAATAGGTTCCGAGGTTGATATGTATCGACGAAAAGGTTCTCTAACGATGAGTGATGGTATCTCTAGAGGTGGGATTGTGGTTTTCCGAGGTGATGTTCCTGTACATGAGTGAGCTGGTTGAGATATAGATGAAAGGGTACCACGACAAGTGGGTACATTCACTGACATCGAAGAGACTCCTTCGGGCAGTAGCTCTTCTGGGGCCGGAGGGACCATTCTGGAATTGTTTCCATCTTGTGGTTCCAATTCCTTCCCACCAGTCTTCCCATAAGGTTGATTAACATTCAACCATTCCGTAACTTTTTCTCGTGAGGTTGCTATGGAAGTCACTACACTACCACGTTCCGAAATCTGCAACATGATCTCCGTCCTCTTCTCCAAAGACTCTCTGCGGATAAGCTGCTGTTTCAGCAAATGTGCTTTGTCTACTTCCAGCTTTAGCTGACGCAAACGTAGCTCCTCGTCCAGCAACTTCCGCTTCTCCTCCAACTGGCGTTGTGCTTCTTCGAGCTCGCGTTGTCGGAGTTCTTCTTCCTCCTTGAGCTCTTGTTCCTTTAGTTTAGCCTCTTCCTCTGCCAGTTCTAACTGCTTCTGTACAGCCGACGACCTAGTACTGTTGCTCCGGATAGCCGATTGCGCTTTACTTCCTCTGTCTGAAGAAACTTTTACCTCTGACGTCTTGGATGGCCTCCCTTCAGACGTTTTAGTGGACTGGTTACCTCTTGAACGTGGCCGCAGTATTCGGAGGGACGCTGCATTTTCCTCCTGGCACTGCTTACAAATGTATGGACGTCTTTGCACGGCTTGAGTCACGCCGGCACAAATAAAGTGCTCCCATTGACGGCACTGATCACATGCAACCATATGCGTATCTGCCCAATTTGGACGATCGCATGATTTGCATTGATACGTCGATTGGTTGTGATGTCCTTCCATTCCGACAACCCACGTACAACAATTCTTAAAGAATGTTGCGGGGATAGATTTTCCACAATCTTTAATAGCAAACCAGGCTTTCGTGGTGGTAAGCTTTAAGCTAGAATAAACTTTTATTAGTATGTAGCTAGGATACTTTCTTACATTAAACTTACAATTGTTGGTGAACCTTTGAACATTGGGATCTTATCACGAATCAATGGGCGATAAGTTGTGGAAAGCACTGTAGTAAATTATGGTCCTATAGGTTAGGTGTACAATTCAATAATTTCAACGTACTTACGCTTTAATTTACCGTTTACTAATATGTTTAAGCAACTTCTAATTTCGCCAAGTAGGTTTAAGCTATGTAGAATTTATCCTATCTTTAGAAATAGTTAGTATTAGATTATGAATTCATCCTCATCATTTTACGTAATGCATGTGTTACCTTTATGTGCGAACAAATAGCATGATCTCGCACGGATATATTACAAATAACCAGGATAATCACTTAACCTACTGATAGCTGGCGTAACTTTATTTGCGTAATCTACTTTTAAGCTTATTTGTATAATTTTCACCGTTAGATATAACTGTAATTACTAGATTAAGCTAATTCACGTATCATTGTTTATCATTGACCATTGTTCTGAACTCCAATGTCGTTTTCTATCTCTCTTTCCCTCTTTGTTCATGGTTGATCGGCCACTGTGGGGATCGTAGCTCATCCGACCACAGTTGAATTGCGACGGGGGGTCTCGTCGTGACAATAATAATAAGCGCGTCAATTTCTATTATACGCTCTTCGTAAATTAGGTTGGACTTCATTTCCTCTTCCATCATATGAAGGACGCTGCATGCTTATAAACATACAAACATTAAAAGAGCGTCGTGAAAATGCAATGGTTTCATTTGTAAATGATATCGTTTCGCAGCGAATTGACTCAACAGAACTTTTATCAAAATTAAATTTCCATGCACCCACTCGGCAACTCCGAAATCGAAATTTATTTGCCATAAAACATCATCGCACAAATTATGCAAAATATGGGCCATTAAACCGCATGATGGCCTCTTACAATAAACACTGCGAAACCATGGACTTTACAATGTCTCAGCATAAACTAAAGCAATATTTTTATTCCATAAGAAATAACAACTCATAAAAGAAAAGACAAGAAAGCTGACACTACTTTTTTATATAAATATATATTTAAGAAAACAAAACTGTATTAGTTGTACTAGTCTACGTTGGTTGACGAAATAAATAAATAAGTATGCCCTCCTACAATAAAATCGCTGAGTAGAGACTGTATAATAGTGCACATGAATCACTTTTCTCGACTAGTTACTTCAGCTTTGTAAAGGAGCAGAGTAAAAGCTATAAAACTGCACGCGTCTAAAAATAAACCTAGCTGACTGTAAAAATGCTTCCAAAGTAGCGCTAACACAGTTTATTAGCTGGTTGTTTAGTTGTTGAAAAAACACTTTTGATGTTTATGTCATTCAGCAAGCGTAACATATTAACTTTATTAGCTTTGTTTTGCAGCTAAAAGTGAAAAGTTGATTAGCATGTGTATAAAAGTGACATTAGCATTTATTGGCTGTTATCATTCAGTGCTATTGACGCGAACCAAGAAAACACTTAAAGTACACTCAAGACAAACTCCCACTTTATTCGTTTTTGTTAACACTCATTTCCTTCTCACTCCACGGACGGTCTAAATTCTGACGTCTCCCACTTCCTAAATTGACTACTCTTACCTTGTGCTAGCACTACTCCTCGTTTTGTCTTCGGGACCCCTTTACCTGCCACTGCCGTCGTCGTCGTTCCTCTCCTTCCTCTGGTACCGCGTCACCTTCTTGGGCCAGGGGTGGACGCATCTACCTGTCCTGTACGCCCCTCGAGTATGGTGACGGACTCGAGGCTTCAACGAACCACAAGGGTAAGTTGGCTTGCCTGGTTTGGTGGCGCACACTGTAGCTGTGGGATCAGGTCACGAACTGTGATTCGGACACACTACCAGCGATTGGCGTGGTCGACTTCGGTTGCTTACTTTTGCTTTAACCTGGGCCTAGATTAAATTCCTGTCAGCTTGATTGATTTCCTTAATGAGGCTCCTCCACCATGAACCTCTGAGCATCTGCTACGATCTCCTGCCGGGTTCCAATCCTTGCTTGCAAATATCTTTCCCACCCCTTCCTAGTGTGTGGTCGACCCTCACCATTTACGTTCTCGAATTTCTGTTGATATCAGCTTCTCAGGGTTGTTGATATCCAAGAATTGGTTTTGCTGATGTTGATGGTAAAATTTTCCGCAGAGGAGCGTTTGGATAGGTTTTTGAGCTTTTTCTGCATATCAGAGCACCGTTGTTCTAATAGAATCAGCCAAATTGAAGTCGTAGATATGCTCCATAGCAATAGGCTGCCAGATCAGCCCACGGTACACGGATAATTGCAACTACCATGATCTCTTCGATTATGATGAGGAACAGTAGTGATAGTATACATCCTTGGATCGGACAAGGCTCCATCATACAGGACTCTGCGCATGAATGCCCCGTATTGCACTTCGCTGATTCTGACTATTTCATCTGCGCCTCAGGGCGTCAAACAGATTCTCGTGCTTGAGTTGGTCGAAAGCTTTTTCTTCGTCAATGAATACCAAATACAGGTACTCTTGGAATTTTTTAACCTGCTCCCAAAGATAAACTGTAACGCGTAAATGTGTGCTTGTAAATGACGCAATCGTCGCTACCAAAGTAACAATTTTGAATTTATGAGGGTTCTGTAGATCATGATTTAGACTTGTAGAGTGCTTTAAAAGCTCATTAAAACTTTACGTAAGATGGTGAAATATTAGGAAACAATTATCAGTTATTCGTTTGTAAATGTGATCATTTATTCAAATTTGGCTTTCATAGCATCTCTTGGGAATGGAATTACATATTTACAGTAATTTTATATCCTAAAACGAAATCACATTAGGGGCCTGTTGTTACCTTCCATGAATTTATTTCTCAAAAATATACATCACAAAGCGCTGAAATCGTGTCATCAATCCAAACAAATTTCATTGAAAAAAAAAATACATATATATATATATATATAAATATATATATATATATATATATATATATATATATATATATATATATTCCTATATTCCTATATTCCTCAACAACATCAACCTTTTTGATCGAATGTAATCAGACTGCATTGAACCGTAACACAATTAATCAACCAATCGTAATGATAAAATGTGAGTGGAAATTAGCGTCTCCGTCCAAAACGTAAAAACACGTGGTCCACGTCAGTACGTTTGCCATTGCTGCTTGGTGCCAATAAATCCTCGCCCTGATACAGGAGTGCTGTAAAAATGAAAAAAAAATTTAATAAAGAGAGATGTTGTGTTCAATAATTGGAATATGAACTCAATATTGTCTCGGTGATTGATTTCACAAAAATGCCAAAAGCAATTCAGCACTGCACGGTGGTCCAGGATGGAAATTTACCTGGAAAGTAGTCTTCGTACTTTTGATTTAAGCCTTAGGCGTTTGGTGTCTTGCAAATTATGCAAAGTTTCATGGAATTTGGAAAGGGTCGAGTCTGAAATGCGTTGGTCATGAAATGCTAGTTTTAGGCAAATCCCTCAAGAAGGACAACTTGCTCAAGCAAACCAACAGCATCACACAGGAAAGTTCGTCCTATCCGGGGAAAATGCAGGCTATCCTGGATAGATAGTATTTTACGAGACATTTACGGAACAAGTCAGTGCTCAGAGTACGACGTGAAACTTGAACTTGATCCCATAATATGATATATGCTATACATTGTGTGTAAGCAGTACCGTAATCTGGGGGCAAAATAAATGTAGGTATTAAAAAAATCTGTATTCAACGAAATTACCTATAACATATTTAAATCAGTAGCTGTGATGTCTCTATCGTTCTGCATGATTACTTCTCATATTGAGTGTTTTTTTAGGACAATTTTGAAACATAAAATTTAAAAATATCGATATGGGGTGAATTTTATTAAACCCTCAAATGACTTATGAGTACAATTCAAGTATTTTTTTATAATAAATTTGGGTTTGGAAAATTTAAAAAAAAAACTGAAAATGCACAGTTGCACATAAGCAATTTCTTTAAAATAACTGTAAATTTCACAAAACCATTGATTTCTCAATATTAATAGTTTTAAATCATTTTATTAAATGATTCAAATTCATTAAAACTTTATTTTAATGTTAAAATACCATTTTATAGTTAATGACAAAAACCATTGCAACTCTATGAGCACAAAAAGACGTAACTTTTCAATCTGGATCATCGTGCATGCATTTAACGATTGATTTGAAAATTCAATGGTATTGAATACTTCTGAACATCAGTTAAATAAAATTGGATTGTATGCAGTAAAATATACTTTAGTGTTAGGAGAAAACTCGTCGAAGCAATTATTGGAGTCTCTTGATGAAATGCTATTAAAGTTTTTCTTGATATCTATCACCAAAATATGTCTACGTGAGAACTAAAAACGCAACCCATAATGAACAATTTCACCCCGGTGATCAATTTTTCCCCGGATACGGTGCTAGTTTTTCAATTGTACATACCTGCTGCTTCTTTCCTAATGTATGCATTGAGTGCTTCAGCAAATTGGTTAGAATTTTCCAGGGCAGTGCAGACTTTCCTTATCCGTTGGGGCATCTCGTCTATTAATTCATTTTCACATATTGGAGGAACAGCAGTAGTTGCTTGGCATGTAGTTAATGTGATGTTGAGGATTAAAACAGCACAGAATAGTATGCATCATCGATTCCGTTCGCAACCTATAAGTAAAAGAGGAAATGGAAAAAGAATTGAAAATTTTCCCATTCGAATGACTTTTTATCTTATTTTCTTGATGGGTTTTACATTTTTATCACATTTTATTTATTTCGTCAACCAACGTAGACTAGTACAAACACATAAACGGTTTTTTGTTCTTAAATATAAAATAAATTCTTTGAAAGAAAAAACAAAAAGTACAATTTTGTCTTAAATAAAAATTAAGCAGTGTCTGCTTCCCTATTTTTCATCTTGTGTGTTATAATTCCGTATGGAGTTAAAATATTGTCTAAGTTCATGCCGAGACATTGTAAAGTGATTGGTTTCAAAGTATTGATTGTTAGAAGCCATCATGCGATTTAATGGCCCATATTTTGAATAAGTTGTGCGATGATGGTTTATGGCAAATAAATCTCGATTTCTGAGTTGCCGAGTATGCGCATGGAAATTTAAATTTGATAAAAGTTCTGCTGAGTCAATGCGCTGCGAAACGATATCGTTTACCATTGCATATTCACGGCGCTCTTTTAATGTTTGTATGCAGCGTAAGCGGCACCGGTGGTGTAGTGGTAAGTGTGATTACCTCTCACTCCAGCAGGCCTGTGTTCAATCCCAGTCGGCGCCACCGGGATGTTCTGAGGCATAACATCTTTAATCACGTCTTCCTTCGGAAGGGAAGAAAAGCCGTTGGTCCCCGGTTCATAAGTTGATGGGTCGATAGGTAGGGTCCAGGTGTGGGAGCTGCCTCGCTGGCGTCGGTAGCATTGGTGCTCAGCACGGAAAACAAGATCGACGGAAAACAAATTAAGGAAAAAAAGCTTGCAGCGTGCTTCATATTGTGGGAGAGGATGAAGTCCAACCTAATTTACGAAGGACGTATAGTATAAATTGTACTGATTCTAATCTTTCTTCGTGCGTGATTGTAAAAGGAGACTATAAAATGCTTCAATATTCCAGAATTGACATCACATTTCTTAAAATTAAAATCATTAAACGACCTAAAAGAGGAAAATTCTACCCAAAATGTCCTCGCCATCAGCGAAGCAGATGAATTGGCTGGATTTATTGAAGGTCATGCTCCGCATGAAACCGCGCTTATTTCTTAACACCCTCTAGCGCAATGTTGAAATGCCATTCCCTTGTCGAAGTCCTTTGTGAGTTTCCAACGAGTCCGATGAAGCATCCGATATCTTCACACAGCACTCACCATCCATCGTAGTCATGATCAGTATGATCAGTTTCCTGGGAAAACCGATCTCGTCCATAATCTTCCATAGCTCTTGAAGGGCAATTGTATCGTAAGCGGCCTGTTGTCGATCGCCCATCCACAAAACTGGCTGGATAACTTCCCACGATAGATGGCGAAAGATGACATGGGAAAGCACTTTGTAGTTTGAGTTGAGAATAGTGATCGCTCGGTTGTTCTCACATTCTAACTTGTCACTCTTTTTGTATATTGGGTATATTACTCTATCATGCCATTACTCCGGTAGCTGTTGTGCATGCGAGATCGTGACTATCAGTCGGTGCAGACAAGTAGCCAACGCCGTCAGAGCATAGTTATTGGGTACCCTTGAGGCTTCTATTACATACGTTTTGGGAATTGGCGATCTCTCCCAAGTAACAAATTTGGTTGTATCACTGTCTTGTCGTACTTTATTCATGCTTTAAAACTTCGATAAAATGTGAAATGCTCATTGGGCATATGCATACATATATAAGTTAAAACAAGATGACACCTGGCATAAGATCTTCCATCATAGTAGGTCACCCATCCGAACAAAAGATCATTCCCACAACTTTACACAATATTTATTACTGGATGTAAGAACTCAGCACTCACCAACTATCTACTCGGAGATCAAACATAGAGCACCCGGTCGACTCAGGCGACAAGAGCAAGCTCCGGTACAGCTAGGGTCGGCTAGCTACTGGGTAATCACAGGGTTTCGTGATACAAAAACGGAGAACTTTAATTTATCTTTAAATGCGTTTATTCGTCACTTTCTGTATTAAGTGCGTGTTGTTGTGTTCATAATTTCGTGTAATATGGTCGAGTAGCCTAATCTCGATGCTTACTGTAGCGGTACATACCGCTGCTGCCGTTGACGGTGAATCAGGATGGTTGACAAAGCGACTCCTGTCCTACTGTGTGGTCGGAACTCTCGCCGGATTGGCGAAGCGAGCGGATGACGGGCCAGCGGACATACATGGACGGTGAAATAAAAGGCGTCGTCCTTCGTTGGCACGATCCGTGGCAAGGCTACCTTGGTCAAGTCGAGAAGGGAAAACTCCTTTGCGATTATAGCCTTTGTTTGGCCAGATAATGTGTTTGGTCCTTGACAATTAGGATCGGAAACTGTTTCCACCATTTCGCGAGACGGTCGTGTGTTGACGGATGACCTTTTTAAGGTCCAACACAACTAATACGTTATTAAATTACGGTTTTAGGGTGGGGTAATTAATTACCTGAACAATAATTATCCTTTACGCACACACTAGCTTCTGCTAGTGAGAGGGGAAATGCGTCTTAGCACACGGATGCCTGATATTAAAAGATGCTGGTTTTGGACAATGGCCGTTCTTTTTACAAATTTCCCTCGTCCCGTCATTCTAGTTTAGCCATATTGTATTTTGGTCTCTGCGTATGCTTCTATGGTGGACATAACGTATCGGCACAACATTTTCACAACGAGCGCTATCAACCGGTGGAAACTAACGATTTTAAATTGGCTCTCTTTGACAGATTTTGACAGATAAAATGAGGGGTTCGTGGATTTTCCTATGTTTCGAGGGGTACATCGATTAGCTTGGGACCGATTGGGATAGCTGAGCTGAGCCAAAAAGTTGAGCACGTTTCTTGGGGATCTTCTGGTCTTAGAGTTACCTCTAGGGCCCTATCACTTCTGTGGTATAATGCTGTTCTTGCTCAAGAAACGTGAAAGTTCTGAATGTCTTACAACATAAACGATAAAAACCTATGAACTTGTGTGAGAATATGACCAGTTACCTGTACAGCAGATCGCATAGGAAAGCAGATTAACAACCAAATTCCATACGAAGGAAGTCAAATCTAGTTACATGAAACATTCCCACACACATCAGTGGACACGTTTTTCCATGAACTCTACTTCTTCTTCTTCTTCTTTCCTTTATTTAACCCGTTTCGCAATCTAGTGCCAATCACCGACGGACATCGATTGCCCTCCATTGACGGCAATCGAATGTGCAGGATATCGCACCCATTCAAACACATGGGCCGGGACCAACGGGTTTACTTCCCTTGCGAAGGAAGACGTGATCAGAGATTTTGATGCCTCAGAAAAATCCCACCGACCTCGGCTGGGATTGAACCCAGACCCATTAGGTCGCTTACGACTACACCAGCCTAATGAACTCTAGCAACGGCGCCAGCCTAATGAACTCTAGCAACAGTCATCGACAGTTTTCTGGTGTACCTTTTTTTGCGGATTTTTTAGCTATAGTCACTATATTCATAGTCTGACGGAGACAATGATGGGAGCCAATTCGAACTGTCATTTGCGGGAGCTAATCGAGCATAACTGTTTCTTTTTAGATCAATGTGGCCAAGTTTGGTGATCGTGATGATAATTAAATCATACAAAAATTAAATTAATTTAGGCGGTAATTTATCAATGCGTTTCTGAATGATATTTTTTCCGATTTTCATGGAGAGCATCGACGCGGCTAATTTGTAGTCGACAAAAAATTTAATTTTCGATAGATTTTTTACGGATGGAATCGTAATTTTACAGGTATGCGTTGAAAAGTGTAAGATGATTGATATATTTTTATCACATTTCCTCCTATTCCGTCGAAAATTGTTTACATTGATACTGAACAGATAAAAAAATATATATGTTCCGTAAAACGAAAACGTTCTGCAAAAGCTTGAGCATTTTCACGCCAGATTATTATTTAAGAAAGCAAATTTGTCAGTTTGCAGCATTTTGTATCCGCTAGACTAAAAATATAAAGACTATAGTTTTAGCCGGTTTTTTATCTGAATTCCTTGATAGCTGGATTTTGGTACTAAAGTAACAATTGGCGGCCTGTATTCTAATTACCAAAGATCAGGCAGCTAGGAATTGGTCAAAACTAATACCGGCTAAAGCTCCAACCGCAAACAACGATAGGGTTAACTACCCCATTTCCGGCCTATTAAGCACAACCTGCAGTTAGTCTTTCTTAATTTAGCGCAGTTTAGCACCAAACGGATTTTTTTTTATTATTATAGTCACTTTAACGCTCTTGGGTCATTCGTGACTTTCCGGGGGTGAGATTTGAACTCGTAACTTTTGGCGTGAGAGGTATGGATGCTAACCCCCCACCAAACGGAATGTTATTATTATTGATGGCTTCCAAATTTATTTACCTTTCCGTACGTACCTTAAGATTTGAAAAAAGAGAAACCAATCGTTGAGATTTTGTCAAAAGTCTAACACTGCTTCTTGACGCCAAACTCGGCCTACGGATTCTAAACTCGGCCTAACGCATTGAAACGCCATTGAAACGCCAATGAATTCACTTCGGCCTATCGGATGAAGATGAAAATTGATTCGGTCGGAGCGCTTCTTTTAACATTTGGGAATAATGGGTGCAAACCTTCATATCACGCGTTCTCACTGACTTCGTTCCGTAGCTTATTAACTAAAGTATCGTACCAAACGCATAATTTACTTTGTTAACTCTGAAATCATGGATTAATTTGAAGTTTTCTGCTAGATAGGCCAAAATGGGCGATTAGGCCGAAGTAGTTTACCACCCTACCTCTCTGTAGGTAATAATAAGATGTGGTGTATATCCAATGGAGATTCTTTTATAAACTGTAATGAGAAGTCTATGAAGGACCAAAATTGATTACGGAAAATGTTCGCCATGTATTGAAAAATAATAATAAATTTATTTATACAATCTGATTTATTGATCATGTTTTGTTATATCAGCGAAAATATGGCAATACGTTTTCAATGCAAATTCCCATTGAAGACGTTAATGGTTAACAAACCCGGCTTCAAGCTACAAGAAAAGTGCAAAACCCATCACGTGACACCTGAAATCACATGCAAATTCAAAAAGAAGTTGAATTGTTCTGAACCATATTGGCCATATTCAAGCAGGGGGTGTCTCCAGGTAAGTGGCCACTTGACTTGACCAAATCCCTTGCTAAGTTAATTTAAATTGCATGAGAATTCAATGGTAGTCATGTCGAATCCCCAGAACCATATTGGCCACACCCGAACATGACCTGAGGATGTGGCCAGTTTTTGGCTTGACCAATCCTCTTAATGCGACACCTCAAAACATATTAGAATGGCAAATCAAGTTCAATGGAAGTCATATTGAGTGTCCAAGTGGTTAATGTATAAACATATCACTACTAAAATTCATCTTCCCAACATTTTCATTATCAAAAAAGATGTTGGTCGTACCCGAGCAAAGCTTGTTGCTGTTATGATGTAACTTATTTTGAATACTCCAGTTGATCTCATTTTGGTTGACTTCACGGCTAACACAGCAAAACTGAGAGCAAACTTTTACACTGTTGAATCAAACGGAATACTAATCTTGCTTTCAATGAAATCAATTTGATTTCTGATTTTGCATTCATAATACTTAACTCAGTACGGGCCTGGAGTAAATCTTTAGCATCACGCTGAAAAACTTGAGCTCAAATCTCACCCCGGGCAAGTAACGAATGATCTAAAATGTGTTAAACAAAACAAATAAATAATAATAGTTAGTTCAACGACAGATGAGCTTAAATTAAATTTTAAACAAGACGTTAACAGCAGAATTTCAAGTTAAGTCGCTTTCATTTAAAAAGTTTTGACAGCATAATGAAAGCACAATATGATATCAGACTAATGTCATGACAATTGAAATCAAAATGAGTTTTCATTATGATAGGAACTACAAACTTTAATATCGATTTGCTTTCATTTTGTTAACCAACTTTGCTCGGTTAGCGATTTATTTCTAAAAAAAAAAACATTTTTATTTCATTTACCACCTCTGCCCAGGACTAAGTAAATTCATTTATTGATCGACAAATTGAGACAGGCCTATTAAAAAATTAATCGAGAATTTACCTAAGCCGTTTAATTTAATATTTGAACAATTTGTATGGACGACTGTCTACTTATGGGGAGCGGTGGTCTAAAATATATATTAAAAAAAAAACACTGACTGTGTAGTTCAAGGACTTCTCCTAATTGAAGTAGGACGGGATAAATAAAAGGAAATAAATAGAAGCTAAAATAATGACAATTAAGTTCAAGTTTCAAATAACCATATAATTATGTTGAAGAACTACTAATTTTTGAATGAAGAATAAACTACCGACTAATACGACTGATTACAATCTGAACACTTTTTTTACCTTTCCTTCCTGCACAATTTTAAAATAAGAGTAATTTGAAATTGAAATTTACACTTTCGTTTAAATTTATATCTTTGTTCGATGAAAACTAAATAAATTTTATTTAAATGTGACAAACTGCCAGATGAATTGAAAATTAAGTACACGCACACGAATTATTTTTAATGATTAGCAAAATTATAATTTTATTGCTGTAACCTTAAACTGAGTTTTATGCATTAACTTAAACTGGGAAATTATATATAAATGTACCCCATGCAAATTTGTTGTGTTCACTACAGTTGTGGTAATAAATTATACTTATGTTATCAATCATATCTTCAATAACAAGCTATCTGACAAAATATTCACTTCCACAAAAACAGGACGAATACTTAGCCACATTGAACCAAGTCTTGAATAATTTTATTCTAAACAATGTAGCTTATTACTTTTCGATTTTCGAAGCACTTTAGGATAATTAAACTTAATGAAACTTTTTCATTCTGATCAACCGTTCTCTAATACACACCAATCGTCTATTCTGATCAACGTTTATATAATTAACACTTTATTCCAAAACAATCATATTTGAAGTCAGTTGTTCGAATGTTAAAATTTAATCATTTCTTTATTATTTGCACTGCTACAGCGTTGTAGAGATAAAGTCACATATTTGCAGTTTGTTTATTGTAAATGTTATAATCCGATTAAATCTCTCTACGACTCACATTTTGTCTTGTTGCTATGATTCGGATACAGTTGCGAAGAGCACAGCTATGTTGTACACTGGCACTAATTTAATATGGCCCTTTGATACACTCTACCGACAATGAACATCGCAAGTCTGGCTACGATCCTTTTATATGCTGAAAGTAGAAAAATTGCGACGGCGCAAAACTGAAAGTTTGTCCCCAGCCACGCTGCTCATCAAACACGGAAGAATGTTAATGCTTATCGTTTGCCATCCAGTTGTAACACAAGATTACA